TGATGCCTCTTTCGTTTTTAACTGTCTCTGAATCCTTTTTTCCCCTCTTCTCTTCTTGTACAAGCGATCCGTCCTCGCTTCTTTCTCTGTCTCTGATTGTGCCCTTCTATGCTCGGCGTGGTCGTCCCTCTAAAAAAGAGCTGAACTCGTCCTTTTTCCGTTGCCAAGACATAAACAATGCAGCCCCCTCCACCGCTAGCCGTCTCCCTCCCTTTCTCTGTTCTTCTCCTCTTCCAGCTTGTGCAGTCTGGGGTCCTTGGGTGCTGAGACTGTGCTGACGATGGTCTTAAGCTTAGGGATGCTGTAAAGACATGGCTGCTGAAAGCGATGGTCTATATTTTAAGGCTGTCTCCGGTCTTTTAAAAATTCCGAAAAAATAGCTGTGCAGTTACCAGTCGTGCAGGAGGAGATGCTTTATCAGCATGGACATGCAAGCTGATACAAAACCTCGGTACTCGGCCAAAGCTTGAATTAAACCTATCCATACGACGGAGCACTCTTTGTCGCGGCAGGATTACTACCCCAGGCACTACATTAAATTCAGTGTAATAAAATCTGTTCTTACTATTCATTTCCCCCCTCAGGAACAGGATAAAGCACAGGGTCTTCTTTGGTTTAGCTTGTTTGATGTCCTGCTTCAGCTGTGGAGCAAGCAGAGGTTGTTCTTTATAGTGAAGCACGCCATCCCCGGCGCTTTTTCGTGTTTGTTTCAGACTTGGATGTCAACAAAAGTGTTAGTGTGTCATGCTGATTTTTATGCCCCGTTTCTTTTCTTGTGACTCCAGATGACAGACCGCAGAGTCACAGTGTTTATCTCACAGTCTCTGTCCCTTTCTTCCTCTTTTTAAAATGTATTTATTTTCCTTCCCTCCCCAGTCCACCCGGTGGAGATGGCAAATCAGGTTCCAGCACTTTACCGCCAATCAAATCAAAGACCAACTTCATTGAAGCCGACAAGTACTTCTTGCCGTTTGAGCTGGCATGTCAATCCAAATGTCCCCACGTCATCACTCGTCACTTTACAGCATGGCGGGACAAGTCACACGCAGGCCCGAGTGCTGCACGAGCTTACACGACTGTAGCGTCGACAGCCTCGACGGCAGCCGAGCGCGTACTGATTAACCAGCGTTTACTTCCGCCGCCGCTATAGGCAACGAACTGTGCGTGCTGGGCTCTGCCTTTACTTATCTTTGGATGTGCTTGATCGAAGAAAAATAAGTTCTTTAATTCCAATGCTACCAAGGTCGTTTAGTTTTGTGTTTCTCTGCATATGTGGTGTATTACGATCGGACAATGTTTTAAGAGTCCAGTCGGTGACTGCTTTAGCAAGTCTCAAAGCAGTAGCAGCAGCAGGTACTGGGCCACCTGAGCAGGCGACGAGAACAGCGAGAACAGACGCCCGGACAGCACGGCTCCGGGCAAGAAGCTCATCGACAGGATCATCGAGACCATCTGCGCTTGTTTTCAAGGACCTCAGACTGACGAGGGCGTGCAGCTACAGATTATTAAGGTGTGCTGCCGTCCCCCTCTTCTGACATATCGCAGCTTGTCGCAGATACGCTCAATACACACTTTAGAGAATTTAATTAGCCGACAGTCATTCCTTAAAAGACCACATCTGTGTATTTATGTGGCTTTGATCTGCAGCAATCTTTAATAACACTTGCTGTTTGTGGCTGCAGCAGATAATCCTGCTGGACTGTTGAATAATACAATATTATTTTACCTTATTAATATGTATGTCATTTGAAAAACAATCTGTAATTATATTGTAAATACGATTACTTTTTCATTTTATCTCGGAGACTTACCTGAAAAAGTCAGTGATAGTGGCAACTATTTAAGTTTTAATATTAGTTGTAAATCTGTTTTATATTTATTGTTAATAACTTGCTGTCCCTGCTTTGTGGTGTATTGTGTTGTTCTCCTGATATATAAATGGAGACATATTTTAAGATATACTTAGTCGGAACTGGACCTAAAGACAACCAGACAACGAAGCTATAAATGGCAAGCCACAGCTTTGGTTTTAAAGACTTCTACTTAGCTTCATGGCTGCTCCCCTTTTTTACACCTGTGAGTGACCCTATTTAGGTCTGTGGGCGGGGATTCCTCCCTCATAGCTGTGAGGTTATGAGTTTATTTGAAGTTTGTGCATCAGAAAAAGTTCAATAAACTACATTTTCTGACATACTTTTGTAGGGCTGTTCAATATAACGATATATATGGGATGACGATATACAAACGTCTATCGTTTCATTTTACGCTATCGTTTGTTTCGTGGTGTTGCAAAATAAACTGTTTACGAGCAATATTTTTTCATCGTTTTGATGGTCACTGTAGTGGTCTATATTAATTTCTTAAAGTTCTCTCTTTCTCTTATATTTAATATAACCACACTACAGACGGACAAGCGCCTGTTTTTACTGTTGTCGGTTAGCAACAACGACGGTAACACCATCCGTGCTCCGTGTCCGCTTGTTTGTTTTCCACGATAAACCTTTCACAATAAAGCTCAAGATCCTGTTGAGACTTTTCAAAATAAACTGAATCACGTGAAAAGATGCAGAGTTTACGGATGAGAAGCAAAAAAGAGCCGCAGGTGCTAAAAAATAAACCTTAGACTCAAACGTTAGAACTTCCCCCAGCACGCTCTTCAATAAATACTCACAAAGAAAAATAACCTATTAGACTGAAACCGATGTATAACACTCAGCTATCTTCCCCGCGAGGACGAGCGAGATAAACATGTAAGTACATACGTTACAAGAAACTCCCAGACAC